TGCATCTAGGAGTGGGAGTGCTGGATTCTCCGGAGACTCTGTGTATAACTTCTTGAAGACTGAAAACTGCCAGGCTGTTCTCCACAGAAACTGCACCATTTTCCATCCCCACCAGCAGTGACAAAGGCTCTGATTTCTCCGTATCCACCAGCATTTGCTGTGTTTTGTTTTTTTGAACTTTGATCACCATGGCAAGTATGAAGAAGTATTGCAGGTGGATTTGATTTGAATCTCCCTGATAGCTAATGATGTGAGCACACTTTCATATGTTTATTGGCCGTTTGTACATCTTCTTCGGACAAATAATAGACTTCCCTGGTGGTCCAGGGCTTAAGACCCCATGCTCCCAAATGCAGGAGGCATGAGTTCAACTGCTGGTTGGGAAACTAAGATCCCACATGCTGTGCAGAGGACCAAAAAAAAAATATCAATTTATGAATGGACAGCTCAATTCACTCTCTCAGTCATGTCCGACTGTTTGCAACCCCATGGACTGCAGCACGCCAGGCCTCCCTGTCTATCACCAACTCCTGGAGCTTGCTCAAACTCATGACCATTGAGTCCAACCGTCTCATCCTCTGTCATCCCCTTCTCCTCCTGCCTTCAGTCTTTCCCAGCATCAGGGGCTTTTCAAATGAATCAGCTCTTCTCATCAGGTGACCAAAGTGTTGGAGCTTCAGCTTCAGCATCAGTCCTTCCAATGAACACTCAGGACTGATTTCCTTTAGGATGGACTGGTTGGATCTCCTTGCAGTCCAAGGGACTCTCTAGAGTCTTCTCCAACAACACAGTTCAAAAGCATCAATTCTTCAGTGCTCAGCTTTCTTTATAGCCCAATTCTCACATCCATACATGACTACTGGAAAAACCATAGCTTTGACTAGATGGACCTTTGTTGGCAAAGTAATGTCTCTGCTTTTTAATATGCTATCTAGGTTGGTCATAACTTTCCTTCCGAGGAGCAAGCGTCTTTTAATTTCATGGCTGTAGTCACCATCTGCAGTGATTTTGGAGCCCAAGAAAATAAAGTCTGCCACTGTTTCCATTGTTTCCCCATCTATTTGCCAAGAAGTGATGGGACTGGATACCATGATCTTAGTTTTTTTAATGTTGAGTTTTAAACCAGTTTTTCACTCTCCTCTTTCACTTTTATCAAGAGGCTCATTAGTTCCTCTTCACTTTCTGCCATAAGGTTGGTGTCATCTGCATATCTGAGGTTATTGATATTTCTCCCGGCAGTCTTGATTCCAAGCTGTGCTTTATCCAGCCCAGCATATTGCATGATGAACTCTGCATATAAGTTAAATAAGCAGGGTGACAATATAAGCCTTGACATATTCCTTTCCCAATTTGGAACCAGTACATTGTTCCATGTCCTGTTCTAACTGTTGCTTCTTGACCTGCATACAGATTTCTCAGGAGGCAGGTAAGGTGGTCTGGTATTTTCATCTCTTTAAGAATGTTCCACAGTTTGTTCTGATCCACACAGTCAAAGGCTTTGGCATAGTCAATAAAGCAGAAGTAGATGTTTTTCTGGAACTCTCTTGCTTTATCAGTGATCCAACGGATGTTGACAATTTGATCTCTGGTTCCTTTACCTTTTCTAAAAGCAGCTTGAACATCTGGAAGTTTTTGGTTCATGTACTGTTGAAGCCTAGCTTAGAGAATTTTGAGCATTACTTTACTAGTATGTGAGATGAGCGCAATTGTGTGGTAGTTTGAACATTCCTTGGCATTGCCTTTTCTTGGGATTGGAATGAAAACTGACCTTTTCGAGTCCTGTGGTCACTGCTGAGTTTTGCAAATTTGCTCACAGATTGAGTGCAGCACTTTAACAGCATCATCTTTTAGACTTTGAAATAGCTTAGCTGGAATTCCATCACCTCCACTAGCTTTGTTCATAGTGATGCTTCCTCAGGTCCACTTGACTTCGCATTCCAGGATGTCTGGCTCTAGGTGAGTGATCACACCATCATGGTTATCTGGGTCATGTAGATCTTTTTCTGTACAGTTCTTCTGTGTATTCCTGCCACCTCTTAATCTCTTCAGCTTCTTTTAGGTCCCTACCATTTCTGTCCTTTATTGTGCCATCTTTGCATGAAATGTTCCCTTGGTATCTCTAATTTTCTTGAAGAGATCTCTAGTCTTTCCCATTCTATGGTTTTCCTCTATTTCTTTGAACTGATCACTGAGGAAGGCTTTCTTATCTCTGCTTGCTAGTCTTTGGAACTCTGCATTCAAATGGATGTATCTCTCCTTTTCTCCTTTGCCTTTAACTTCTCTTCTTTTCTCAGCTATTTGTAAGGCCTTCTCAGACAACCGTTTTGCTTTTTTGCATTTCTTTTTCTTGAGGATGGTCTTGATTACTCCCTGCTGTACAATGTCATGAACTCTGTCCATAGTTCTCAGGCACTCAATCAGATCTAATCCCTTGAGTCTATTTGTCACTTCCACTGTATAATCCTCAGGGATTTGATTTAGGACATACCTGAATGGTCTAATGGTTTTCCCTACTTTCTTCAATTTAAATCTGAGTTTGGCAATAAGGAGTTCATGATCTGAGCCACAGTCAGCTCTCAGTCTTGTTTTTGCTGACTTTATAGAGCTTCTCCATCTTCAGCTGCTAAGAATATAATCAGTCTGATTTTGATGTTGACCATCTGGTGACGTCCACGTGTAGAGTCTTCTCTTGTGTTGTTGGAAGAGGGTGTTTGCTGTGACTCGTGCGTTCTCTTGGCAAAACTCTGTTAACCTTTGCTCTGCTTCATTTTGGACTCCAAGGCCAAATTCATGTGTTACTCCAGGTATCTCCTGACCTCCTACTTTTGCATCCTGGTCTCATATGATGAAATGGACATCTTTTTTGAGTGTTAGTTCTAGGAGATCTTGTAGGTCTTCATAGAACCATTCAATATAGCTTCTTTGGCATTAGTGGTTGGGACATAGGCTTGGATTACTGTGACTTTGAATGGTTTGCTTTGGAAACGAACAGAGATCATTCTGTCGTTTTTGAGATTGCATCGAAGTACTGCATTTGGACTCTTTTGTTGATCATGAGGGCTACTCCATTTCTTCTAAGGGATTTTTGCCCACAGTAGTAGATATAATGGTCATCTGAATTAAATTCGCTCATTTCAATCCATTTTAGTTCACTGATTCCTAAAATGTCAATGTTCGCTCTTGCCATCTCCTGTTTGGCCACTTTCGATTTACCTTGATTCACGGACCTAACATTCCAGGTTCCTATGCGATATTGCTCTTTACAGCATCGGACTTTACTTCCATCACCAGTCACATCCACAACTGAGCGTTGTTTTCACTTTGGCTCCATCTCTTCATTCTTTCTGGAGTTATTTCTCTCCTCCTCTCTAGTAGCATATTGGGCGCCTACTGACCTGGGGAATTTATCTTTCCGTATCAGATCTTTTTGCCTTTTCATACTGTTCATGGGGTTCTCAAGGCAAGAATACTGAAGTGGTTTGCCATTCCCTTCTCCAGGGGACCACGTTTTGTCAGACCTCTCCACCATGGCCCTTCCGTCTTCCCACAGGCATGGCTCAGAGTTTCACGGAGTTAGACAAGGCTGTGGTTCATGTATAAGATGGATGGATGGAGAGACCGGTAAATCTGCGCAGTGGAGTACTGTGTGGCCAGAAGAGGACTGAGCTTCTGGTGCGTGCAGCTCTGAGGAACCTAGCCACACTGAGAGAAGTCAGTCGGGAAAGACCGCACATCGTGCGGCGCTGTTTACAGGAGACATCCAGCGCTGAGACTGGAGGCGAGAGGCTGACCAGCGTGCGGAGGCCGGCACCCGGTGTCACTGCCGGGGAGGGAGCTGGGCTCCTATCAGGGGCTGGAAATGTCTGCCAAGTGGGTGGTAGTGATGACCGTGCAGCTTTGTGAGTATTCTAGAAGCCGCTGGCCCTGTGTGCTTCCTACGGGTGTGTTGTGTGGCTTGTGAACTGTGATCTCAGTTCCTCTAAAAAATAATTATCGTGCCTGCCTGGTGGCTCAGTGGTGAAGAATCCACCCGCAGCGCAGGAGACGTGGGTTCAACCCCGGGTCAGGACATCCCACGCAGGAGGAAACGGCAGCCCACTCCAGTGTTCTTGCCTGAGACATCCCATGTACAGAGGAGCCCGGTGGGTCGATGGGATCACTCAGAGTCAGTTTAGTGACTGCAGGCATGTTTAGTGCAGGCATGCAGGGAACCAAGATCCCTTATGCCATGCAGCACGGCCTAATGTGTGTGTGTGTGCACGTATGTCTGTGTGTGCACGTGTGTCTGTGTGTGCATGTGTGCATACATGTGTGTGCGTGTGAGTGTGTCTATGTGCACGTGTGTGCATGTGTGTGTGTGCACGTATGTCTGTGTGTGCATGTGTGCATACATGTGTGCGCGTGTGAGTGTGTCTATGTGCACGTGTGTGCATATGTGTGCATGAGTGTGTGCGTGCGTATGTGCGTGTGTGTGCGTGTGCACGTGTGTGCACACGTGTGTGCATGTGTGTGTGTGTGTGGCTGTGTCAGGTCTTAGTTGCACGAAGCGGATCTTCCGTTGTGGCTCGTGGACTCTAGCTGTGCTTTGCTGGCTTAGTTGCTCTGTGACATGTGAATCTTAGTTCCCTGACCAGGGACCAAACCCGCGTTCCCTGCATTGGAAGGTGGATTCTTAACCACTGGTCCACCAGGGAAGTCCTGTATCTCAGTTGCTTTAAAAAAGGAATGACAGGTGTTGGCAGGAATGAGAAGTGACTGCTTGGTGACAGTGTGAAGCCATCCAGCCACGTTTCTTAAAAGTTAAATAATGAGACTATCCCATGGCATATCAGCTCTCCCCACGGGAATATGCCCAGAGGTCCTGGATGGACTTTCTTTGCCAAAATGTCACGGACAGTGTTATTCTTAGCAGCGTTACTCATCACGGCCCTGAAATGGAAGAAACCTAGAAGTCTAAAAACAGCAGAAGGGGAAAAGTACTGTGACCTAACAGCACTAACAGTGTGGTCCGCACAGGGTGTGGTGTGTCTACGCAGCAATGACCCAGAGTGAGCTGCTGCTCCTCGAGACCCGAGGTGTCACAGATGTGGAAGAGCACACGGTCGGTGTGCGTCCGCTCCGGGCAGGCCGCAGGCACTGGGCAGGGACGGGCACGGGGAGGTGGTGGTGGGAGGGACCCAGGGCCTGGGGGCCCGGGCAGTCTGCGAAGCTCCCGGGGGCTCTGGGCCTCCCACCTCCTGCGTGGTCTCTAGATCTCCCCTCCCCACTGAGGCTGTGACTCTGATGAGGGCCATGGGGCTCCTGTCCCCTGTCCTGGGGCGCTGCTGTGGGCCATGTCTCTCCAGAGGCAGTGCGTGGAGCCTGCCTGGGCTCGGGGGCTGGGGGCTGTGGGAGAGCTGGTGTTTCATCCCCTGGTGGCCCAGCCATCAGCCAAGTGCTCCGGGGAAGGCGGGAGGCGTCCCTCATGAATGTCAAAGGTGCCCACGCCAGGGGGTGACACGTGGAGCAGAGTGCTGGCCTAGCCAGGACGGGCTTCTGCACATCAAGGGAGTTACGCAGGAGAAGGGACAGGGCCCTGGTGGGCTGGGGGCTGGGGCAGGAGGGACAGGGCCCTGGTGGGCAAGGGGCTGGGGCAGGAGGGACAGGGCCCTGGTGGGCTGGGGGCTGGGGCAGGAGGGACAGGGCCCTGGTGGGCTGGGGGCTGGGGCAGCAGAAGGGACAGGACCCTGGTGGGCTGGGGGCTGGGGCAGGAGGGACAGGGCCCTGGTGGGCTGGGGGCTGGGGGCTGGGGCAGGAGAAAGGACAGGGCCCTGGTGGGCTGGGGGCTGGGGCAGGAGGGACAGGGCCCTGGTGGGCTGGGGGCTGGGGGCTGGGGCAGGAGAAGGGACAGGGCCCTGGAGGGCTGGGGGCTGGGGCAGGAGGGACAGGGCCCTGGTGGGCTGGGGGCTGGGGCAGGAGGGACAGGGCCCTGGTGGGCTGGGGGCTGGGGCAGGAGGGACAGGGCCCTGGTGGGCTGGGGGCTGGGGCAGGAGGGACAGGGCCCTGGTGGGCTGGGGGCTGGGGCAGGAGGGACAGGGCCCTGGTGGGCTGGGGGCTGGAGCAGGAGGGACAGGGCCCTGGTGGGCTGGGGGCTGGGGCAGGAGGGACAGGGCCCTGGTGGGCAAGGGGCTGGGGCAGGAGGGACAGGGCCCTGGTGGGCTGGGGGCTGGGGCAGGAGAAGGGACAGGGCCCTGGAGGGCTGGGGGCTGGGGCAGGAGGGACAGGGCCCTGGTGGGCAAGGGGCTGGGGCAGGAGGGACAGGGCCCTGGTGGGCTGGGGGCTGGGGCAGGAGGGACAGGGCCCTGGTGGGCTGGGGGCTGGGGGCTGGGGCAGGAGAAGGGACAGGGCCCTGGTGGGCTGGGGGCTGGGGCAGGAGAAAGGACAGGGCCCTGGTGGGCTGGGGGCTGGGGGCTGGGGCAGGAGAAGGGACAGGACCCTGGAGGGCTGGGGGCTGGGGCAGGGCCATGGGGAGGGGGCAGGGACCAGACATGGAGCGGCAGGGCTGCCTGGCTCGGCACACTGGGCATCAGCTTGGGACACAGTGGGCAGAAGTGGCTCCCGCTAGCGTGTGTGGGTGTCCAAGAGCCACAGCCACGTCAGCCCAGCGATCAGACGCGTCTGTGCCCAGCAGAGAGTCATGGGGTGGGGGCCTTCTTCCTTGAGACTTTGTCAGGGGAGGGAACAGCTTGCCAGAATCCCCAAGCCCTGGGACTGGCCTGTGCCCCTCTGTGGCTGTGGAGGCTGGGAAGGTAAATATCCAGTGTTCTTCAGCCTTGACGTTGGACAGCAGGCTGCCTTCTGGGAGGAGTGGGATGGTTTTTGGACTGTGGGCAGGTGGAGTTGGGCCTTGTAGGTTGCATAGGAGCTCACCGGTACAAAGCAGAGGCGGCTAGCACGGGCTGAGGGGACAGCCTGTGGGCACTCACGACGCCTGCCGGTAACCGTGACGTGCTGGGCAACTGGAACGAAGAGGCGAGAGCGGGGCTGGAAGGCTGGGTTGGGTGGAGGGGGTGTTGGGGACTTCCTCTGGATCACAGAGAACCGTCCGTCCCATTTTCCCAGGGGCTCAGGAGCCCTGGCCCGCCCCCCTGTTCCTTTCCGGGGTCTCGGCAGTGTTCTCTGTTCTCATCACTCCTGGCTGGCAGCCCCCGTTCCAGGCTCGGGCACATGGCCCAGAACGGGCCATCGGGGGGCCCCTCCTGGGGTCGCCGTTCCAGAGGGAGCCCCAGGAGAGTCAGCAGCACGGTGCATCAGGAGCCGGGGGGGGGCTGGGTGTCCTCTTGGGCAGTCCAGGAGGGCTCCTCAGAGGAGGGGGCAAGGGCTGAGACCTGAGAGGCGGGAGGAGCCAGCAGGCAGAGATCCGGGAAGCTGCAGGACACTCCAGGAAGGCGGGCACTGGCCGAAGCCAGAGCTGGGGTGGCTGGCCTCCGCTGCCCACTGTCCTGAAGGCCTGAGTCCGTGGGGCTCGGGAGTGTCAGCAAGGCGGCCCAGCCCTGTCCAGGGTGCTGAAAGGCCGGCTCTGCGCTCTCCTCTCCCTGGGGGTGACCGCACCCTGACCGGGGGGCTTTCAGGAGAGGGCAGGCCCCCAGTGCAGCCCCGCCCCCCACTAGCCCAGCCCGCTGCCTGGACAGGTCTCCCCTCCCCCACCAGAGATGGAGGCCAGACTCGTGCTGACCCCATGCTGGCAGGACAAGGGGGGCCTGGGTGCCGAAGCTGGGCCCTCCCCCAGGGCAGGGAACGCTGGCCCCGGCCCCTGCAGCCTTGCTGAGGTGGAGGGGGGTGTCCAGGGCCACTGACCTTGGGGTGGGCTCCCCCTGCCAGTGAGCATGTCCTTCACGGGTTGGAACTGCCCTGCAACCCACGGCTGGACTTCTGAGCGCAGGTGGGGTGCTCCGGCGAGCAGCTGCCCCCCCGCAGAGCACAAGTGGGCGTCTGGGAGGGGCCGCAGCAGCAGGAGGAGGCGCTAAGGAAACGCCAGCAAGGAGAGCGTGAGGCCTGCTCGCCCCCGCTAATAGCTCGCACAAGAGGCTCTCTGCCATCGGATTCAATTTATTCCCATCTGGGCCGTGCTGTCTCCATCAATTCGGCTAATAAAGAGAGGTGGACGGCCGTGACCTGGGCTGCTGCGGAGGCCTCTTCTGAGCTAATTAACTGGCCTGAACAATCCCTTTTAATACTTCTGTGCTTAATGCCCTAAAAGGAAAAAATGAACTGGAGACGGGGGCGCGGGGCAGGGGGATGGGAGGCTGCAGCTGGCTGTGGGGGAGGGGCAGGCTGGTTACTCAGGGCTCCCCTTGGGGAAGTGGGGGGCCAGGAGCCCAGCCCCCACTCTGCACCCAGAATGGGCAGCCATGTTGTCTGAACCTGGCTTTCTCCTTTACCAGGTGGGGAGGCTGGGGGTGGACGCCCGGCCCTCTTCTCAGGGACAGACCCCAAGGAAAGGGTGTAAGCGTGCATCCCGTGCGTGGAGGTGGTCCCCGTGGGGGCTCAGGGAAGACAGGCCGTCCACCAGGGCTCAGCACACCCCCACCTCGCCTCACTGTCCTCATCTATAAAGTGGGGGTGAGAGCAGGGTAGGCCCCAGGGCTGCCTGAAACCGGGCTGGTAATGCCCCTGGCTGCTCCCCAGCACGTGCTGTGCTGGGCGCTGTGACTGGAGGTCTTGCCACGTGTGCCTGTTGGCTGTGGAGAGGCACCTGCCACTTAGTGCTAAGCGTGCCCTGCCGCCGCGGGGCTCACTCGCCCGGACGGCTCCCCAGGCTGTGCTGTGCACACGTTCCTAAAAGTTCTGTGTTCTGCGTTTTACACGTGGCTGCTGAAGAAGTCGGTTTCCACTGGACACAGCTGTTGAGAGCAGTGTGTGACCCGGCTTGGGCTCCTCTGACTCAGTTTCCTTTGCGGGGGCCTGGCCCCTCCCCCTGAGGAGGTGACCCCGCCTGGGTCTGGGCTGAGGTTGGCTTGGGCTAGGCTGCGGAGCTGGCCACGCTGCCGTGCTGAAAACGCCTGGGCCTGCAGACGCAGAGGACTCACTGGCAGGGGCTGACCCCGCAGCCAGGGCACCGGCCTCCTGAGTGGCCGAGGGGCCCGAGAATGCCCCCGCGCTGTCCACAAGCCCGTTCCCAGTCCTGGCCGTGGGCTCTGTGCCAGGCACAGCAGCAGAGGACGAGGGGCTTCCTGTCCTTGCCCGCTCGCTCCCTGGGGAGGGCGCAAGGAAGCCTGGGAGACAGCCTGTCATCACAGCAGTAAATCGTGTGGCCTGATCGCAGCCATGGCAGGAGACGAGATGCAGGAGGCCCCCAGCAGGCTGTTGAGGTCTGTGTGCCCGTCTTTCTGGAGGACTGGATGGGCCCGGAACGTGGTGGGATCAGACGGTGACCCTCCACTCAGCTCGCTCTGTCACACACCCGTGTGCTGCTCTGAGTGTCGGGGACCCTTGGGGCTGGTGTCAGGGGAGCCCCACGCCCCTTTCAGGGTGGGCACGCCTCCCTTCCTGCCAGCATCCTGCCCAGCCTCAGCCTCCCCCCACCTGGGGTTCCTGGGGGGTGAGCATGAAAGAGGGGCGGGTCCAGGCCTCTGTGGACATAAAATTCCAAACTAAATCCTTCAACCGTCCTTTATGATGATTTGCTAAAATATTTTCAAACCATCGTTTACGTTTTTATCAAAGTAAAACAGTTAATGACTCAAGTCATTGGACAACTTCTGAGCAACTGGCCCCCACCCTGGCCCACCTGCTCCTTCCCTGGAAGGAGTCCTCTTGACCCCGAGCTGAGGGCGGCTCTAGGCAGAGGCCGTCCCTCGTATGTGCTGGTTCGCACGGTGAGGAGGGCCCCGCTCTCCCCTGCGCCCCTCCCTCTCCCACGGGGGGTTGGCCCCCTCCCGCTTCCCTTCCTGAACCTGAGGCATCTTCACACGTTTATTTCCTGCTTCATTAACTGCAGGCGGCGCCGATAGGGTGACTTCTTGTAGTTCCTGCTCTGCCCCTGTTGTAGACGCTCTAACTGGGAGCAGGAGGGGCTTGTTGTCTGGGCCTCCACTCTGCCCAGAGCCCCAGGTCTACTGGGACAGGCCCAGATTCCTTCCTCTCCACCCAGAGAGGCCCACCTGGGGCTCAGCGGTGCAACGCTGCAGCCAGCCCCGTGCTGTGCTTGGGCAACGAAGCTGGAGAGGCGGAGGGCTTGACCCCGTGGAGGAGGGTGAGGCCGGTGCCCTATGCGTGAGGGCGGTGTGTCTGCAGAACGGTGGGCTCCGCAGACAGTCTCCTTCAGCCTCCTCTCCTCGCGGTGAGAGGCGCTGCCTGCCCCTCCTTTGGGGGGGATGCCCCCATCCTCTGCTGCTGTGCCTGGCACAGAGCCCACGGCCAGGACTGGGAACGGGCTGTGGACAGCGCGGGGGCATCCTCGGGCCCCTCGGCCACTCAGGAGCCCGGTGCCCTGGCTGCGGGGTCAGCCCCTGCCAGTGAGTCCTCTGCCTCTGCAGGCCCAGGTGTTTTCAGCACTGTGGCGTGGACAGCTCCGCGGCCCAGCCCAAGCCAACCTCAGCCCAGACCCAGGCGGGGTCACCTCCTCAGGGGGAGGGGCCAGCCCCCTCCCACCCCCCGCAAAGGAAACTGAGTCAGAGGCGCCCGAGCAGGGGCACACACCACGCTCAAACAGCTGTGAAAGGCAGGGCGGGGCGGGGGGCAGGGGCGGGTCACAGAAGCCCCTCCTCGCTGCCTCAGCGTCTGCAGGGCAGGTCACAGAAGCCCCTCCTCGCTGCCTCAGCGTCTGCAGGGTGGGTCACAGAAGCCCCTCCTTGCTGCCTCGGCGTCTGCAGGGCCTCCAGGAGGATCTCTTGGCCAGAGCAGGGGCCTCCTGCATTTCACCTCCCTTGTTTGCCCTGGTGCCTGGCGTGGAATGTATGCCTGGTGAGCAGGTATGAACGTCTGGAAAGAAGGGCAGAGGCTGACCAGGGAGGCGTGGAGAACCTATCAGAGAAAGTGACACTTCTGTTTTTGCATTTCTTGTTATGATATGTGTTATGAGATAGCACATGTCTAGCATTTTAACTGTGTTAATGTGCACAGCTCAGGGACATTCACACGTTGTGTGACCATCACCACCATTTGTGCACACAACTCCTTCATCTTGTAAAACTCAAGCTCTGTGCCCATTTGCATCAATTCCCCACCCCTCCCTCAGCCCCGTCCCCACCATCTACTTCCTGCATCTGTGGACGTGACCCCCTAGGGCCTCATGTAAGTGGATTGTACGGTCCCTTGTCCCTGATTTCACGGCGTCCTGTGCCCTCCAGGTTTGTCTACACTGTAGCAGGTGTTGGGATGCCCTTTATTTGAAAGGCTGAGTCACCCCCTGTCTGCATGGACCAGGCTTGTTTCCTGTCTCAGCTGGCAATGGCCAGCTGTATGGCTTCTCCCTCTTGGCGGCGGTGAGTAGCACTCCCACGAGTGTGTATGTGGGATGCGTCTTTGAGTCCCTGCATTCAGTTAGCTCCTTCAGGTAAATACCCAAACGTGGAACTGCTGGGTTGTATGGTTCTATGTTCAGTTTTTGAAGGCCTTTGTGCAGATTTCCGAAGTGGGTGCACCACTTACCTCCCCACCAGTGGCGCACAAGGGCTCCAAGAGCCGCACCCCGTCGGCCAGAGCAGCCCCGGGGCCCCGGCTTCGGTGGGTGGAGACAGGGTCCGGCAGTTGTAGGCACGGGTCTGGCAAGCCAGCTATGGAGGAGGCGGGGGGGGTGGGGGCAGTGAGCCCCAGGTCGTGAGTGGCGGTGGGTGGGGATGGGGGCAAGAGTCTGTCGTCGTAGTCAGAGGGGAGCTGGGGAGAGAAGCAGGCAAGTCCAGCTTGAGCGGATGGTGGGGAGGGGCGGATGAAGGGAGACTGCAGGTTTGGCTCTGGCGCCCGTGTCTCCCGTGATTTTATTTGATTTATTTATTCTGGGGTCTCAAGGCTCTGTGGACTCTGGAGCATCCTAGGGACGGAGGGCCCATCCCTGAGCCTGCCTTTCCACCCACACCAACCTCTCCTCCTCGGGACGTTCACATGCAGGACCACGATCCCCCTGCCCTCATCACCCCTTACGGGGGCCAGGGGCTGGACGGCTGGGGCCGGCCCTGCACCCGGAGCCCTGTGGGTGCTCGGGTCAGCTGGGCCCAAGGCTGCTGCCCTGCCTTGCCTGCTCCTTCTGGGAAAACCCCAGTAGGGGCTCGCCCACACACCCCGCACCCGGCCCCCTGGCCAACGCCACTGCCTCGCCCTGTGCCCTGCGCCGGGCATCCCGCCCCCTCCGCTGGGGGCCTGCAAGTGTAACCAGCTGCCTTCTCAGCGGCAGTCATTTACGGTCTGTTGGCCCCACGTAGCTGAATGATGACAGAACCCACGCTAGAGACCGCTTCCTCCCTGGCTTTCCAGGCTGGGTCCCCACCCTGCACCTGTCCATCGCCCCAGGGGTAGAGTGTTCCCGTGGCAACCCAGCAGTGAAGCCCAGTCCCCTCTCTAACAGGCGGACCGGCCGAGTGTCGGAGGATGAGAGGTGAGCGGGGTTGTTCCTTGTAGTCAGAGCGCGCACAGCTGTGGTTTTGTCCACAGCAAAGCGCGCGCCTTCACGTCTGTTCAGTGGGCATTTCCATCTCCCGTCACTGTGGCCAGGGCAGGATGGGCTCCCGGCGGGCAGCTCTGAGCGCTGAGTGTGGCCGCGGAGGGGAGCAGGGAGGTGATTCCTGCCCGCAGCTGCGGAGGCACGGGGGCTCAGCCGCAGCCAGGGCTGGCGTCCAGAAACGTGAGCAGGTCCAAACATGCCACCAGGCCTGGGCGCGGCCTCGCTGCCCAATCCAAGGGCACAGCCAGGTCCGGCGGCCAAGTTGCTGCGGGTGGCAGAGCTGTGTGAACAGCCGCCAGGCTGGACAGGGGCCCGTGGCCAGCTGCTCCCGGTCACATTCGGCCACTGCTGCCCAGACAGTCGGGGCCCTGAAGCCCAGGCTAGGGCACCACACGTGGCCCAGCTGGCCCTGGCCCTGGGCCTGCTGACCGCTGCCCACTCGGGGGTGTTGTTTCAGATGGATCGGTGAGGAGGGACGCGAAGGCTGTTACAGAGCAAAAGAGACTCCTGCACAGCGGCCAGACGTGGCACGTCGCGCTTCTGCGCTTCCTGCTTCCCACAAACTGGTCCTGCAGTATCTAAAGATGGACGTGTGGAAAGATTGAGCATGGGCGGTGAACTAAATGATGTTAAAGAATTTACTATTGGGTGTGATGAGGTGATGATTAGACTTTTTAAAAATCTTATTTGCTAGGGATGCAAGCTGAAGTATTAATGGACAAAATGAAATGTTGTCTGGGATTCCCTTCATAATACTAAAAAAAGGGCATGTGTCTGTGTGCCTGTGTGTGGCAGGGACATGAAACACTGTGAGCTGAGACAGTTGAAACTGAGGATGGCACGCGGGCTCATTATCGTATTCTCTCTGCTTGTGTGTGGGTTGACATTTTTCATAATACATCACGGAACAGTGCTTCAGCCAGTATATCCTTGTTCATGGCATTTCCGCTTTGCTCACATTGCTTCCTGAGGATTCATCCCCAAGGCTGGGATCAAGGTTGCCGGGCTTGACACTTCTGGCCCGGGGCGTGTGCTTCAGAGGGACCCGTGGTTTACAGGCTTCGAGCAAGGGCGTGGGGGCAGGGTGGGGGCGGAGCATGGGCGGGCCAGGGGTGGGAGGCAGCCTTGCCAGCCCTAGTTTCTGTTTTCAACTTGCACGAAATGAGTAGGTGTATATTACTGTAGTTTGTCTCCAGCTTCCCAGCTCACCGGACCCTTGTGATGGCCGTGGGGGCTTCCCTGATGGTTCGATGCTCAAGAACGCGCCTGCCAGTGCAGGAGAAACACTAGAGTCTCGTTCAGTCCCCAGGTTGGGGGGATCCCCTGGAGATGGAAATGGTAACCGACTCCAGTATTCTTGCCTGGAGAATCCCATGGACAGAGGAGCCTGGTGGACTACAGTCCACGGGGTCGCAGAATCGGACTCGACTGGAGCTGTTGCTGGACAAATACTTGTAACCCATCAATGATATCTACTGTTCGACGTGAATGTTTCTTAGTCTTTTCAAAAAAAATGTGATATCCAAAAAGCATTAATCACTGTATCAGTTCTGTTAGTTCTTTAATTTCTTCGATTTCCAAGTCGGGTGTTGGCACCTGCAGGTTTCTGCCCAAGCTGGACTCTCTCCGGGGGCTCCTCTGATCGGATGGCCTGCAGTCAGGTCTGCGGGTCACTTGTAATGGAGTCTCTGGTGTAAAGCTCAGATTCGGCTTTTCCAGAATTGGTCTCCAGGTATCTCGGCGTACTTCGTAAATTACCCCCATCTCATTGTTTGGTCTTGGCGCTTTCTGTGAGCGAGGGCCCTCCTCTTCCCAAGGGGTCTGTTTCAAGGCTCTGAATTCTTTCTTCGGCCGAGTCTCCCCGTGGGGCCAGCGCCACACTCTCTGTCACTGCCAGCCGGACTGGGCCTCCTGCCCAGCCCCGTGAGACGCTGAAGTGGCTTTCAGCTGGCCCCCGACGCCCTGGACCTGGAGTCAGAGGCTGTGGTCTGAATTCCAGCTGTGTTTCTGTGCAGTCTCTGAGCCTCGCATGTAAGAGGCAGCCTGCGCCGTGTGACTCGGGTGAAACGCCCGCACTTACAGGTGCTGGGAGTGCTTGCAGGGGGATGTGCGCCTGTGTGGGGCGCTGGGCTCGCACGGGGGTGGACCGTAGGGAGCCGAGGTGTCTCCTGCATCCCACTCTGCTGGCCGGCTGGCACCCCCAGGTGGGGGGCCCCCGCCGGCCTTCTCAGCCGGGGTTTGTCCCCGCGCCTCACACTGTGTGAGCCAGAGCTGTTTCCATGGTTACCGCCACAGGGTGACAGCACTGCCCTGCCTGCAGCCTGGGGCCCTCCCAGCAGGTGGTGTCAGCCTGGCCGGCTGCGGGGTGGGGGCAGGCTGCGCTCTAAGGCCCTCCTGAAAGCAGGGTGGGTGGGCACAGGTGGGCCGTCCCTGAGCTGAGGCAGAGGACCGAGCTTGTCCAGCCAGGGTCTGGGAGCTGGTCCGCTCTGGTGCCCAGGGAGCAGACACCGAGAAGGAGTGAGACGTGTGTGGGGCTCACGGGAGGCGGGGGGTGGGGAGGGGGGAGGAGCGGGGTGTGGGGCGGACACCTGGGGGGGCGGGGGGCACAGGAGGAGGGGAGGGGAGAGGGGGAGGAGGGGGAGGAGGGAGAGGGGGAGGGGGAACAGCCTGAACACAGTGCAGCTTAGAGATGGCAAGGTGGCTGGTGCAGACCCCAAGCCCACACCGCCTGCGGGGAGACCAGCCCCTCTGGGCTCAGTCCTGAGCCTCCAGTGAGGCGCGGGGGGCCCGAGCCTTGGGAGCTGCGGGCTGTTGGCCGGGCCCACCCCTCCAAGCAGGCCTCTCGGCCAGGCCAGCCCTCGCTCACCACCTGGCCTTCCCCACGGTGTGGGCATGAGGGGCGTCCCATCTAGGCTGAGCAGGTCAGGCTGGGGAAGGCCGCCCCCCTTCCAGGGGCCCTGCCTGGGCCCCGGTCCTACCGAGGGAGATGCTGGCACCCACGCTGTTGGGTCCCAGGCCCTGGGTGTGCTGCGGAGGCGGGGCGGGAGCCCTGGGACAAGAGACTGCCCTGCAGCTTACGCGGTGTCCACAGTGGGACAGAGAGGAGGTCACTGGCCGTGGGCGGGGAGGGGCAGGAAGCAGGGACTGCAGCGGGAGGTGCTGGGGAGGAGGGCAGGGGTGGGGCTCAGACGTCCAGGAAGTGGGGGTCCCCAGGGGGGCGGCCGAGCTCAGGAGCACATCACAGGGATCTTGGTCTGGACTGACCCGCCTCCGCTGGCCTCTGGCTCAGCTTGTTCCGGGCGGTCTGCCTTGCTCCAGCCCTGAGCTCAGCCTCTCCTGGGGCCCAGGGCCTTTGCTCGGGCTGTCCCTGGTGCCCGGATGTGTCTCCTAGGAGGGGCCTGCTCCTCCTTCGGGTTTGGCCCTAACGTGTCCTCCTGGCGAGTTGGCTGGGTCCGTTCACCCCTGGCCGGCTGGGCAGGGCAGGACTCAGTGGCCGGCACTAGCCTTCTGCAACTCAGCGATGGTGTGTCCTGGATGGATGAGTGCACGGAGGCGAAGTCTTCATCCTGCGGTGTTTCTGGGCCTCAGAGAGGGAGAAGGGTCTGAGGGGCCAGGGAGCCCACCCTGCTTCCATTGGTGTCCGTGCTCAGAACCCCGGTTCCTCCAGAGGTTCACGGCCTGGGGCCCCAGCATCTCACAGGCAGAGCCGGCGTCGCAAAGATGCCCGTTGCCATCTGGCCCCTGGACGTCCCTCTCTTCTTCCTCATCTGTGGCTGTGTGTTTCTCCACACAGCTGGGAAAGCACCCCCTTCCGGGCGTCCTTGTAGCTAGGGGTGGCCCCGGGACCCGACCCACTCGTGGAGCGTCAGCAGGGTCTCCTGGGGGCTCTGGGGAGCCCCCAGACACCATCACGTGTATCACTCGTGGCGTCAGACACCCCGTGCTTTTATTTACATGTGTTCTCTGCAAACCTGTGCGTTCAAAAACTGCAACATATGTCTGTGGATCCGCGCAAAACACTCGAAAGCTGGTACCACTTGCCGTCACTGGAAGGTCAGTGCAAACCAAGCACGAGGATCACCTGCGACAGCAGGCAGCTCCTGCCGAGGCCCTGGGCGCGGAGCCGCGGCGCGCTCCCCGTCGGGAGGCTCTCGCGCGCTGGGTGCTGAAGACAGGCTCCAGGGAAGCCGGGACTTCCCAGGGATGTGCGAAGGAGGAAGGGAATTAACGGGGCCCAACAGCTCAAGACTCAACGGCGGACCCAGGGCCGGGTCGACCAGAGACCCAGGGCTGAGTCGCTGCAGACGCGGGGCCGGCCCCGAGCAGGAAGAGTCGGTGTGTGTGTCTCGGGGCCGCGGTCTGAGCCCCGGGCAGAGGGAGGCACGCCCCGTGTCTGTGGGAGGGCGGGGAGGGACACACGCCGCGCGGAGGCCGGCTCTGCCTGCCCATGGGGCGGGTCTGCTTGGGCTCCACGCCCCTCCCTGGGGGAAGACACCCCCAGATGGATGGGGGGGGGTCCACGTGGTCCTGGACATGGAGACTGAGCTGGGGACAGACCCCAGGACCTCCTCACATGGAGAGCAGAGGTCACAGGGATGGGCCAGTTAGAGGCTGTGGACACAAAACACGGGCTGTTCCCGTGAGGGACTCACAGATGCGCGCCCGGCATGAAGGAGCAAGAGATGGGGTGTTCAGAAGAGCAGCCAGGAACACGTGCCCAGGGACGCCTGCCCAGTCAGAAGAAAGCAAGACTGCAGACCCCTTGAGACGCAGAGCAACACAAAACCAGGCCCACGGTGCTGGAGCTCCCCCGCAGCACTGACAAAGGCTCAGCCGGACTCCTCTGCGGACCGGGGACCGTCCGCAGTGAGATGCAGGCAGGAGAGCAGAGGGGGAGCTGAGGAAGAGGCGGCCCTGGGTGCTGAGGCGGAGTGCCAGCAGCCACCCTGGGGAACCGGCCGCACGGGAGGGCTGTGCAGCGGCCTGCGGCTGGCCAGAGGCCGGGAGGAGGCTGGGGCGCTGGGCAGCCGTGGACAGTGGGGCCGCAGGACGGAGGGCCCAGGGCCACGCGGTGCAGTCGTAGGAGGGGCAGCGATGTGTCTCTAAGGAACATGCCAGCCCGCAGCCCCTGAGGAGGGGAGAGCGTGGTGGGCCCCGGAGCTCAGCCCCTACTGCCCTCTGGTCTCCTGGAACCAGAGAGGGTCGCAGCCTGCTGAGGCCAGCCTCTGGGGCCCCACGGGGCAGAAAGGCGGGGCCTGTGGGCGCATGGCTGAGTTGTGCGTTTTGCACCCATTCAAGGAGCCAGCACGGAGGAAACAGCGAGCATGGCCCTCAGCATGCGCAACAAGAAGCTTGAAAATACGTAAAGCAGAATAACGAGAGATGCGGGAGGGGAAAGGGGAGCGTCTCACGGCTCCCAGAGACAGATCCCACTGAAGCGCTGGGAGGATGGGAACCCTTCAAGACGAGAGCACAGTGTCCATGGAAACAGCGGAGCGAAACAGCCCGGGGGAGGTGCGAGGTTCCGATGGTGGCGTTGGGTCCGGTGGGGACTGGAGTCGCTCAGAGAACGAAAGGATCTGCGAGGTTTGTCTATTGGGCTGAAGAATAAAGATTTGGTTAATGCTAGAATTTGAACAATGTGTGTGTATGTGTTAACAAGGTAAAGCTCATGACTAGAAGAGCAGAAATAAAAGGTGTAACTTTCAAGGCAAAATGAATTCAATGACCCACTGAACATCAGGATAGGAAAAATAGTAAAAAAATCATAGTAAGAAAACAAAAGTGGGCAGAATAGATGTAGATGGATATTTATTTATTAAGATACAGAGACTCTCAAATTGGATTAAGACACAAAGAGACAGCTTACTTTATTTACGAGGGATGCACCTAAAATGCAGTAGGAGAGAAATGGGGGGGAAATGGGGGAAAGGAGAAAAAAGGGGAGAAATGGGGGAAAGACAACACAAAAGGTACAAGAGACAAATGTTGACAGAAGGAAAGGTGAAACTAAATTATGTGGAAAATAGGATTTAGGGTAAAGTGTTCGGAGAGAAAAAGTGGCCCCTTGGTTTGGATAACAGAGCACCTTCCCCGGGAACAGATCACCTCTGCTGGCCTGAAGAAGCAGCTTCAGAGTGTCCAGGTGGAAGCCCTGTAAATGCGGGGCTTCAACAGCACCCTGTCAACCGGGCCGACGGGGGGAGAGACCTGCGGGAAGAAGGTGAGGGCCCTCCCCCCACGTCTGAGCCACTACGCATCCTGGGCGCCCATGTCTTCCGGGTCGTCGGGCCAAAGACTGTGGCCCCTCCCATGGAAGGGCCCCCAGTGCCGGCCCTTGTAGGGCTGGAGGCCCAGCTCCGGCCTCTGTCCGTCTGTCCGTCTCCCCTCCGTGTGGACTCTCTGGGGGGCTGGTGGGGAGCGGCCGCCCTTCCCAGATCACGGACACCCGTTGCTTTCCTTCCTTCCTTGGGCGCGTTTTGGACATGAGTGCCCTGTGCAAGCATGGGTTCTTAGAGTTAATCTCGCAGCAGTGACAGCCACGTGTCACCCTGCGTTGTTCCCCAGGCCCCCTGATCCCGCCGATTCAGCCTGGTGAGGGGTGGGGCATGCCTCACCGAAGTCCTGAAGGGGGTTGGCATGAAGTGGGGCCATAGGTCAGGGCAGAGCCCCTTCCCAGGGCCCGGCTGAGGGGGGCTAGCAATTTTGCATCCTGATCTTGAATGGTTTCTAAGGGAGTTGCCCCCAAATTGTGTAAATTCAGGCCGGACGGGTTGAATACAGCATTTCCTCTCTGTAACTGTGCAGCAATGCCCCTGTAGGGGGCAGGGGCAGGGAGGAGGGGGGAGACCCCAAGACGGCCTGGGGGGTTCAGTGGCCTGCTGGTCCAACCCCATCACCCCCACACCCCCTGGCTTCCGGCCCTTCGAGTGCCTGGAGGGGTCTGGTCCCCCCTGGGGCCCTGGGGCTGGGTTTTCCAGGCCCATGAGGCCCCCACACCCTTCACCCCTTCCTCCCCGACAAGGACCCCATCCCCACCTCTCCACCTCCAGACAGGCTCCAGGACCCCCTTGTCTGTCCCTGACCTCTGATCACCTCGCCAGCTGTGTACCCGGCCCCTCTCGTTGCTGACACTCAGCAGATTCCATTGGTTGTGCCTTTATTTCTAGGATAAACCTGTAACCAGATCAACCTAACAGGCTTCCGGCCAATGACGGGGTCACGGGGAGGCGGGCCGTTGACAGAATGCTGGTCCCACACTCTCTGTCAGAGCCACACTTGGCCCAACCCACCCCAGCTCCTCCTCTCACCCCTGGTGAGCCCGGGCCCCTCCACCCCGGGTGAGAACCGCGACCTGGTGGGGCGCCCTGCTGCTTGGAGCCCCAGAGCTCCAGCAGTGGTCGCCGCGCTGCCCGGGAGGTTTGAGGCCAGAGAGGGACACCCCAGGACCGCAGGTGTCTGAGGGTCATGAGCAGACTGTGTCTGATGGGCTGGGGGTGGGGGGGACCCTGTTGCCGCAGGAGAAGCGGGCAGCCTGCCCTGGGCCGAGGACTGCTGGCCCTCCATCTGTTTCCTGCTCAGCAGCTGAGCTGCACTAGCTCTTCTCTCCTGACATCCCCTCACAAGGGCACCCCCCCACCCTCTTGGCTACCTGCCCAGCCCTGCTGCCCTGAAGTCGTCTTTGAAATTGGTGAGGAGAAAAAAGGAGTCACAAACAAAAAAGTACATTCACACACTATTTTATTGATGTGTATTTACCTGCGTTGTTGCATGAACTGGGGCTCTTACGTCCCCATGTGCATTTGAGTTACCGTCCTTTCATTTCAGCCTGAAGGACCCCCCCCCCACCTCCACCTAGTATTTCTTGTGGAACAGATCTTCTAGCAATGAATCCTTGGTTTTTGCTAGTCTGGGTATGTGTTAACTGATTCTTTATTTTTGAAGGATAGTTTTGTTGGATATAGAAGTCTTGACTGACAGGTCTCTGAACACCCCACCCTGCATGGCCAAGATTTCTGTTAATCTCGTTGAGAATCCTTTGTACGTGATGAGTTGCTTCTCTTGAGCCACTTTCAACAGTTTCTCTTTGTTTTGGGGTTTCCCTCGTTTGATTATAATCTTTCCAGGTATGGATCTCTCTGAATTTATCTTACTTGGAATTCATTAAGCTTCTCGGACATGGAGATTGTTTTTTTGCAGGGGGGAGTCAGATTTGTTAGGTTTTCAGCCATTGTGTCCTCAAATATTCTTTCTGCTCCTGTTTTGCGCTCCTGTCTCTGGGATCGCATCATGTCAGTGAATGTTTGCGTGTGTGGACACACATGGACCCACTGCTCAGATTAAGCTGTGAATTACGCACAGCCCCAGAAAGTCCTGTTTGCTGCCCCCCAGCCCACACCACCCCACCCCAGGGGCAGCTGCTCCTAGCACTCCTGTCTCTATGGTTACCTTCTCCTGCTCTTGAACCTCACACAACTGAGACCACTCGGGATGAACTCCTTTACTCGTTGTGATGTTTGTGAGATTTTTCCTTCTTGTTGCCTATAGCAACAGCACATTTATTTTCATTGCTGCATGTCCTTCTGTTGTATGAACACATCGCAGTGTATTTATACATTTTACTGTTGATTGATATCTCAGTTGTTTCTGATTTTACCTTTTGTGAAGAAAGTTGCTAAAAGCCTTCTTATACATATTTTTTTTTGGTGTGGATTCATGCAATCATTTTTTTTTTTATATAAACCTAGGAGTATAGTTTCTGGATCACAGAGTACTGGCGAGCATTTTGTAAAGCGCTGTGTGCTGTGCTTAGCTGCTCAGTCATGTCTGACTCTGCGACTCCATGGACAATAGCCCGTCAGGCTTCTCTGTCCATGGGGATTCTCCAGGCGATAATACTGGAGTGGGTTGCCATGCCCTCCTCCTCTAAAGCATTATTGCAATTTAAAGTCCCACCACCAACTTCAAGGATTCCTGGTTCCTCCACATGCTTGTCAACACTGGATAGTGTCAGTCTTTTCTCAACACTTTTTAAATTTATTTGACTGTGCCTGTCTTAGTTGCAGCACTCAGGGTTTTCAGCCTTCGTAGGGCATGCAGGAGCTTTAGGTGAGACGTGAGAACTCTCAGCTGTGGCACGAGGGATCTAGTTCTGTGACCAGGAATGGAATCCCGGCCCCTGCGTTGGGAGCATGGCATCTTACCCCCTGGAGCCCCGGGGGGTCCCAGCCGCAGTCTTTCTGACGTGAGCTGTTCCTGGAGGTGTGTACCGGTGTCTTATTTGGCTAAGTTGTATTTCCCTGATGACTAATGCTGACACATTTCTGTACTCCTGCTGATCAGTTGGATGTTCTATCTGTGGAGTGTAACCCACTTCTGAATTCGGCTGTGTGTTCTTCTGGTATTGATTTGTAGGCATTCTCTGTGTATTCTGCATACATATCCTGGGCTGGGTACATGTATTACAAATATCTGCCCTAGTTTTGTGTCTTCATTCTCTCCATTGTGTCTCCTGATGAACAGGCTTTAATTTTAAAGGCATCAAACTTACCAGTCCTTTTTTTTTGGTTAGTAACTTTAGTTTACAAATTATTTAATCTTTTGCCTATCTCATAGTTATAAAGTTATGCTCTATTTTTAAAAAAAATGTAAATTTAAACTAATTTTGGATTTACAGAAAAGTTGCAAAGATAGTGCAGAGAACTCACATATATACTTCATGTAGCTTGCTCTGATTTTAATATTTTACAGAACCACAATACCTTTATCATAACTAAAAAATAGACATTCTTATTTTTTCCTTTATAAGCTTTCTTATTTTGTCTTTGAAATTAGGTCTGTGACCCGTTTCAAGCTGATTTTGTGTGTGGTGTGAGGTGCGGGTCATAAGTTTTTAATATGGATCATCCATGTGCTGCAGCACCATTTATGGAAAGATATTTCAATTATTCGGTGAATCATGGGTAGCTTAGCTCAAATCATAAGTGGTTTTAGTTTAGCGAATCACTGTTTTGTTTCCATAACCTGTCTACTGCATAAAACATAAAACAACTTATATAAAACAACTCTGACTTAACTTGCTATCACTTTATTGCTGTTGTTGTTTAGTCGAATCTGACTCTTCCATGACCTCATGGACTGTAGCCGGCCTATCGCTTCATAGTAGGTCTTAAAATCTGATAGTGTAAGTTCTCCAACTTTATTCTTCTGAAAGTTGTCTTGGCTATTTCTGGCTGAATCCCATTATAAATGTCAGAAATAGATTTTCTTTGGTGATATTGATGGTTCATTAGTCAACATAATAAATGTTGATGCTTTTTAAAACTGAAGAAAAAAATTTATCTTCAGATAGAAAGATCACACCAAGTGTGTATCAGAAGGAACCTCCGTGGAGTGAACAAAGGAACCATAATTGCGCTCCAGTGACGGGTCGACTGTGAAAGGGTGAGTGGAGGAGGACCAGCCCTCCCGGTTATCAGGACACCAGTGCCCATGAGGAAAGAGATCTGAAAGAACCACCGTTCTTGGCAGCAGATGTGGAGGCGAGAGCTTCAGTGAGCACTGGTAGCAAAGCTGACACTGGGTGACTCTGGGCCTGAGTCCTGTGCCAGCCAGCTGTCAGTCAGAAGTGAGGCTGAGTCTCCACAGGTAGAAACTTTCCAAACTGTGTGCAGAAAGAGTAACAGAACAGAAATTAGAGAATTGTGTGAATTGTATATTGCATTGTAGAAATCGTAGAATAAACATGTAAAAAGAAGTGAATCCAGAAAGAAAGTGTGTAAGACATAGAGCAGCAGAGAACAGCCCCTGGTGAAAGCTATTGTTAAATGTAAGTCAGTACTGATTAAGTAAATTACATACCGGCACTTCGTGGTGATCCGGTGGCTAAAACACCGTGCTCCTAATGCAGGGGGCCCGTGTTCAGTCCCTGGTCAGGAAACTGGATCCCACAAGCCACACCTCAAGATCTCATGTGCTGCAACTAAGACCCATCCCAGGCAAGTAAATAAGTAAATATTTAAAAAGCAAAAATAAAAGCAATGTTTCATTAAAAGTATGTACCAAGAGCAAGCTACCGTTCCAAATATCAATATAGGCTATTAGGGATATACAAGAAGATAATGCAAAAGCGATGCTAAGAATTTTGTTTCCTTAGAGGGAGAATACAGCTGTTGATTTACTAATTTAATGTAAGCAAACATGGTCATGGTGGTTTAGTTGCTAAGTTGTGTCCAACTCTTTGCAACCCCATGGACTGTAACCCGCCAGGCTCCTCCGTCCATGGGATGCTCCAGGCAAGGATACCCTAGCGGATAGCCATTCCTTTCGCCAGGGGATCTTCCCGACCCAGGGACTGAACCCAGGTCCTCTGATTGCAGGCAGATTCTTTACCATCGGAGCCACCAGGGAGCCCCTGATGCCAGAGAATCTAAGGCTGACTGGCTCTTTGAAGACCTACAAGATCTTCTAGAACTAACACCAAAAAAGGATGTCCTTTTATTCCAAGGGGATTGGAACGCAAAAGTAGGAAGTCAAGAGACACCTGGAGTAACAGGCAAGTTTGGCCTTGGAGTACAGAATGAAGCCGGGCAAAGGCTAACAGAGTTTTGTCAAGAGAACATACTGGTCATAGCAAACAGCTATCACAGCAACACGAGAGATGACTCTACATATAGACATCACCGATTGGTCAATATTGGAATCAGACTGATTATATTCTTCGCAGCCAAAGATGGAGAAGCTCTATACAGTCAGCAGAACAAGGCCTGGAGTTGACTGTGGCTCAGATCATGAACTCCTTAGTGGAAAATTCAGGCTTTCATTGAAGAAAGTAGGGAAAACCATTAGACCATTCAGATATGACCTAAATCAAATCCCTTATGATTATACAGTGGAGATGATGAATAGATTCAAGTGATTAGATCTGGTAGACAGAATGCCTGAAGAACTATGGACAGAAAGAACTATGGACTTCTATAATATTGTATAGAAGTCAGTAACCAAAACCATCCCCAAGAAAAAGAAATCCAAGAATTCAAAGTGGTTGTCTGAGAAAGTTTTTCACACTGTTTGTGGGGTTCTCAAGGCAAGAATACTGAAGTGATTTGCCATTCCCTTCTCCAGTGGACCACATTTTGTCAGAACTTTCTACCACAACCTGTCTATCTTGGGTGGCCCTACACAGCATGGCTTATAGTTTCATTGAGCTAGACAAGGCTGAGGTCCATGTGATCTGTTTGGTTAGTTTTCTGTGATTGTGGTTTTCAGTCTCTCTGCCCTCTGATTGGGGGGGGTGGGGGGCGGGCTTCCCTGATGGAGAAGGATAAGAGGCTTATGGAAGCTTCCTGATGGGAGATACTGACTGAGAGGGAAACTAGGTCTTGTTCTGATGGGCGGGGCCAGGCTCAGTAAATCTTTAATACAATTTTCTGTTGATGGGTGGGGCTGTGTTCCCTCCCTGCTATTTACCTGGGGCTAAACTATGGTGGAGGTAATGAAGGTAATGGTGACTTCCCTCAAAAGATCCCATGCATATACTGATACAGTCCATGCCCCCAGCCCTGCAGCAGGCCACCACCAACCCACGCCTTTGCCGGAGACTCGCGGACACCCACAGGCAAGTTCAGGACAGTCTCCTGTGGGGTCACTGTTCCTTTCTTCTGGGTCCTGGTGCACAAGCTTCTGTTGTGCCCTCCAAGAGTCTATTTCCCAGTCCTGAGCAAGTTCTGGCAGCTCTATGGTGGGGTTAACGGTGACCTCCTCCAAGAGAACTTATGCCATACCCACACCCAGAGCCGCTGTCCCTGCAGCAGACCGCTGCTGACACACACCTCCACAGGAGATGCTCAAACACAGTCCTGTCTCTGTCTCTGTGTGGTCCCTGGGTCCTGGTGCACATGTTTGTTTGAGATCTCTGAACGTCTCTGGCGGGAATGGGGTTTGATTGTAAACGCGAATTCACCCCTCCTACCATCTTACTGGGGTTTCTCTGACCTTTGACATGGGGTATCTCCTCACAGCCGCTGCTCCTGACTTGGACATGGGGTATCTCCTCTCGGCCACTCGCTCGACAGAATGATCTCTGTTGATTTCCAAGGCAAATCATTCAATATCATGGTAATCCAAGTCTATGCCCTGACCAGTAATGCTGAAGAAGCTGAAGCTGATGATTCTATGAAGACCTACAAGACCTTCTAGAATTAACACCCAAAAAAGTTGTTCTTTTCATTATAAGTGACTGGAATGCGAAAGTAGGAAGTCAAGAGATACATGGAGTAACAGGCAAATTTGGCCTTGGAGTACAGAATGAAGCCAGGCAAAGGCTAATAGAGTTCTGCCAAGAGAATGCACTGGTCATAGCAAACACCCTCTTCCAACAACACAAGAAAAGACTCTACATATGGACATCACCAAATAGTCAACACCGAAATCAGATTGATTCTATTCTTTGCAGCCAAAGATGGAGAAACTCTTTACAGTCAGCAAAAACAAGACCAGGAGCTGACTGTGGCTCAGATCATGAATTCCTTATTGCCAAATTCAGATTTAACTTGAAGAAAGTAGGGAAAACCATTAGACCATTCAGGTATGACCTAAATCAAATCCCTTATGACTATACAGTGGAAGTGAGAAATAGATTCAAGGGGCTAGATCTGATAGAGTGCCTGATGAACTATGGATGGAGGTTCGTGACACTGTACAAGAGAGAAGCAGCAAGACCATCCCCAAGAAAAAGAAATGCAAAAAAGCAAAATGGCTGTCTGAGGAGGCCTTACAAATAGCTGTGAAAACAAGAGATGTGAAAAGCAAAGGAGAAAAGGAAAGATATACCCATTTGAATGCATAGCTCCAAAGAACAGCAGGGAGAGATAAGAAAGCCTTCCTCAGTGATCAGTGCAAAGAAATAGAAGAAAACAACAGAATGGGAAAGACTAGAGATCTCTTCAAGAAAATTAGAGATACCAAGGAATATTTCATGCAAAGATGGGCTCAATAAAGGACAGAAATGGTATGGACCTAACAGAAGCAGGAGATATTAAGAAGAGGTGGCAAGAATACACAGAAGAATTATACAAAAAACTTCATGACCCAGATACTCACGATCACCTAGAGCCAGACATCCTGGAATGTGAAGTCAAGTGGGCCTTAGGAAGCATCACTATAAACAAAACTAGAGGAGATGATGGAATTCCATTTGAGCTACTTCAAATCCTAAAAGATGCTGTGAAAGTGTTGCATTCAATATGCCAGCAAATTTGGAAAACTCAGCAGTGGCCACAGGACTGGAAAAGGTCAGTTTTCATACCAATCTCTAGGAAAGGCAATGCCAAAGAATGCTCAAACTACTGCAAAATTGCACTCATTTCACACACTAGTAAAGTAATGCTCAAAATTCTCTAAGCCAGACTTCGACAATATGTGAACCGTGAACTTCCAGATGTCCAAGCTGGTGTTAGAAAAGGCAGAAGAAGCAAGAGAGTTCCAGAAAAAATGTCTATTTCTGCTTTATTGACTATGCCAAAGCCTTTGACTCTGTGGATCACAATAAACTGGAAAATTCTGAAAGAGATGGGAATGCCAGACCACCTGACCTGCCTCTTGAGAAGTCTGTATGCAGGTCAGGAAGCAACAGTTAGAACTGGACATGGAACAACAGACTGGTTTCAAATAGAAAAAGGAGTACGTCAAGGCTGTATATTGTCACCCAGCTTATTTAACTTCTATGCAGAGTACATCACGAGAAATGCTGGGCTGGATGAAGCACAAGGTGGAATTAAGATTGCTGGGAGAAATATCAATAACCTCAGATATGCAGATGACACCCTTATGGCAGAAAGTGAAGAAGAACTAAAGAGCTTCTTTAGTTGGCTTAAAGTTGGCTTAAAGTTCAACATTCTGAAAACAAAGATCATGGCATCCAGTCCCATCACTTCATGGGCAATAGATGGGGAAACAGTGGAAACATTGTCAGACTTTATTTTTTTGGGCTCCAAAATCACTGCATATGGTGACTGCAGCCATGAAATGAAAAGACACTTGCTCCTTGGAAGAAACGTTATGACCAACCTAGACACAACATTAAAAAGCAGAGAGATCACTCTACCAACAAAGGTCCATCTAGTCAAGGCTATGGTTTTTCCAGTAGTCATGTATGGATGTAAGAGTTGGACTATAAGGAAAGCTGAGCACCAAAGAATTGATGCTTTTGAACTGCAGTGTTGGAGAAGACTCTGAGTCCCTTGGACAGCAAGGAGAACCAACCAGTCCATCCTAAAGGAAATCAGTCCTGAATGTTTATTGGAAGGACTGATGTTGAAGCTGAAAGTCAAATACTTTGGCTACCTGATGAGAAGCAGTGACTCATTTGAAAAGACCCTGATGCTGGGAAAGATTGAAGGCGGGAGGAGAAGGGGACGACAGAGGATGAGATGGTTGGATGGCATCACCAACTCAATGGATATGAGTTTGAGTAAACTCTAGTTGGTGATGCACAGGGAGGACTGGCGTGCTGCAGTCCATGGGGTCCCAAAGAGTCGGACACGAGCGAGCGACTGAACTGAACTGAGAAGTCTTTGCAAATAGCTGAGGAAAGAAGAGAAGCAAAAGGCAAGGGAGAAAGGGAAGGATACACCAGACTGAATGCAGAGTTCCTGAGAATAGCACAGAGAGAAAAGAAGGCCTTCTTAAATGAACACTGCAAAAAAGTAGATAAAAACAACAGAATAACAGAGACTAGAGAGCTCTTCAAGAAAAATGGAGATACATCAAAGCTCTATATTGTCACCCTACTTATTTAAGTTATATACAGAGTACATCATGCAAAATGCAACACTGAATGAATTACAAGCTGGAGTCAAGATTGCCAGGAGAAATATCAACAACCTCAGATATGCAGATTATACCACTCTGATGGCAGAAGGCGAAGAGGAACTAAAGAGCTTCTTGATGAAGGTGAAAGAGGAGAGTGAAAAAGCTGGCATAAAATTCAACATCAACAAAACTAAGATCGTGGCATCTGGTCCTATCACTTCATGGCAAATAGAAGGAGAAAAAGTAGAAGTAGTGACAGATTTTATTTTTTGGGCTGCAAAATCACTGCAGATGGTGACTGCAGCCATGAAATTAAAAGATGCTTGCTCCTTGGAAGGAACACTATGATAAACCTAAACAGCGTATTAAAAAGGAGTGATATCACTTTGCCAACAAATGTCTGCCTAGTCAAAGTATGGTTTTTCTGGTAGTCATGTATGGATGTGAGAGTTGGACTATAAAGAAAGCTGAATGGCGAAGAATTGATGCTTTTGAACTATGGTGCTGGAGAAGACTTTTGAGAGTCCCCTGGACAGTAAGGAATTCAAACCAGTCAGTTGTAAAGGAAATCAACCCTGAATATTCATTGAAAGGACTGATGCTGACCCTCCAGTACTCTGGGCACCTGATGCGAAGAGCTGACTCACTGGAAAAGACCCTGTTGCTGGGAAAGATTGAAGGTGGGAGGAGAAGGGGACTACAGAGGATGAGATGGTTGGATGGCATCAATGGACTTGAGTTTGAGCAAACTTGGGAAGATAGGGAGGGAAGAACAGCGAAGCCTGGTGTGCTGCAGTCCATGGGGTCACAAAGAGTCCAACATGACTTAGCAACTGAACAACAACAAATACTGTTGTATTAGTTGTCAGGTAATGCTGACGACTCCACAAGAACATGTGTGGTGACGGGGGCATCAGAGAAAATGTAAATCAAGGCAAAGACTGTTCTGAAGACTCTGGGGAAGGGTACCTCTCAGGACCCCCATGTGATGCAACAGTGGTCCTGGAGAAGGTTTGCTGTTTAACCGTAACCTCTTTTCAGAGGCCTGGGAGGAGGCGAGGGGAGCACCGCAGGGCGACCCAGTGGGGGCGAACGCCCCACTCTGGTCCCGAAAGGACAGGGCCAGTCAGGGCGTCAGTGCCGCAGGGAGCGCGGCTCTCACGGAGGCCGCCCGGGGAGGGCGGCAGGGTTTCGTCCAGGCTCCCGAGAAGTCTGAGGAAGACTCGGGCGGAGCTGCCTCCACGGAGGCCTCTGCGGGTACACAGCCTTGGCGGTGTGGCCTGGAGGCCCGGACCCTGGAGCAATGCACTTCCGCGCGAGGGCGCCCTCGGGCCCCTGGGGCAGCCTCAGCTGTGGAGCGGAGGGCAGCCTCTCCTGACCGACCAGTCCTTCAGCTCAGCCCGCGCCGCCTCCTGGAGGAGGGGCCGGCCCGCCGCCCGAGGCCGGCACTGCGTCCTGCCCACATCGCCTCTTTCCCGGGGCTTCTTGCCCTGAGGCTTCCGAGTCGGCCTCGCACGTGGAGAAGGGCAGCCCCGCTTCCTCCGCAGTGGGACTGTCCGGACCCGCTGCTGTGCTCTGCGGGGCTCGCAGGACGCCGTGGGGGTTCAGAGTTCCTGCCGAGCCCGGCACAGAGTCAGACACGAAGCGGCCATCGCGCGCCGCCCGAGCGACTGGAGCCGGCAGAACCGGGCGTCCGGAGCATGCGGGCTCGTCCCGGTTCTGCAAGTTCAGGACGGTCCGGCTCCCTGATGGAGACCCATCTCCGGCCCCCAGAAGGGCCTGGCAGGGCCAGCCGCCGCTTCTGGCTCCAGCCTCCCGCCTCCCTGCTGGGCCTCTGGGCTCTGCGCCTAACAGCCGACAGCCGTCGGAGTCAGGGGCAGGCCAGGTCCTCGGGTGTCCTCCCTGACCTCCACGATGAGGAGGCCTCTTCACCCGCGGTGACGCCCGGCCCACCTCGGACGAGGCGTCACCCCGTCTGGTCACACCCTCCCTGAGGTGCGCCCGTGATCCCATCAAGCCCCTCCAGCTCATCACTGACCGCATCACCAGGAGGCTGCCATTGGCCGAGGCTCGAGCCCCGCCCAGCCGGGTCCTGCTCGAGAGAGGCCTCCTGCCTCAGACCGGCATCCGTGGCTGGGCAGAGGGGCTCGGCCTGAGCTGCAGCACCACCTCAGACCCGGGGCCTCTTCGGAGCCGAGACCGCCTCAGACCCCCCCAGACCTCCTCAGAGCTGAGATCTCCTCACACCCCCTCAGACCCCCTCAGAGCTGAACCTCCTCAGACGCCCTCAGACCCCCTCAGAGCTGAGACCCCCTCAGACCTCCTCAGAGCTGAACCTCCTCAGACCCCCTCAGACCTCCTCAGAGCTGAGATCTCCTCAGACCCCCTCAGACCTCCTCAGAGCTGAGATCTCCTCAGACCCCCTCAGACCTCCTCAGAGCTGAACCTCCTCAGACCCCCTCAGACCCCCTCAGAGGTGAGACCTCCTCAGACCCCCTCAGACCCCCTCAGACCTCCTCAGACCTCCTCAGAGCTGAACCTCCTCAGACCCCCTCAGAGCTGAGACCTCCTCAGACCCCCTCAGACCTCCTCAGAGCTGAGATCTCCTCAGACCCCCTCAGACCTCCTCAGAGCTGAACCTCCTCAGACCCCCTCAGGCCCCCTCAGGCCCCCTCAGACATCCTCAGAGCTGAGATCTCCTCAGACCTGAAACCTTCCCGGACCCGAACCTTCTCAGACCACCTCAGCTGCTGCGGCCTAAGCGTGAAGGGCGCTGCAGGGCCTTGCTGGATGGAGTCAGCCCCGCAGGGTCAGGTGAGAGCGGGGTTCTGAGAGGGTGGCCAGGCGGTCACTCTGCCGTGGCCCCTCCTCTATCGGCCGCTGAGCAGCCCAGGGGTCTGCTCCTCCTCACACCCCACCCTGGAGCCAGCCCTGTGCCTCCTGCCCTCCCCTGAGCCCGGCCCCGGGGGCAGAGGCCCCCAGGGAGCCCAGGGGGCCCTGGGGTTCTCCAGCCTCTGTCCTCTGAGGCCTGCATGGTGGGGGCGAGGGGCTGAATGCCCGCGGCCCAGCTGACTGAGGGTCACGCAGGCGCCCTGGGCAGGGTCACGCCTGTGTCACTCTCCCCTCTCCTCACCCCCGACCTCTCCTCCAGCCCCCAAACCCTCTCTGACCCTCTTCTCTGCTTGCCTGCAGGTCCCAAGGAGCCACCTGGGCACCCCGAGGAGTCAGCCCGTGGAAGCAGAGCGGCTCCCCTGAGATGGACGCGTGTGCATGCAGGGAGCCAGCCGTGTGGGGCGTTGGCCTAGCTCCCCTGGCCCCCGTGGCAGTCGTGGGCCCTGCCTGCACCTGCTGTTACCTCTGGGGAGCCCAGCACGTAACTGACCCTGCCTGCTGGCCTCACTGGAGGGCCCCCTGGCTGGAGTTCCCCGGCCCTTGCTGTTCCACCACGGTGGCCTTTGCCAGCCATCCTTGGATGGGGCACCCCCCTCCAGCTGCCTCAGGGCCTTCCATTTGGGCCTGGGGCGTCTCCAGCTTTGACCCCCTGGTGGGGAGCCTGCCCTCAGGCCCCTGGGCTTCCAGAGTGTTCCCTTACCCTGTGGGGCCCCCACCCCCATACTCCTCAGTCCTTCCAGCTCCAGCTCCGGGTGCCTCGGGGCCTCATGCCCAGATGGGGTGTGTGTGGAGCCAGCCCTCGGCCCCCGGGACCCCCAGGGTGTTTCCTTACCCTGTGGGGCCCCCACCCCCATACTCCTCGGCCCCTCCAACTCTAGGTGGGCACACCCCCAAACCCGGAGCCCAGCGGGGGTGGCAGACTCCGCCCAGCTCAGCCCTCCTGACTGCAGTGGGGACGCCGTCCAGAGCTGCTTCCCACGTGAAGATGATGCTCCAAGTCCTTCCATCAGGAGGGGTGTCCAGGTTCAGCATCTGGGCCCCCAAACTGCCCTGCAGCCCAGAACTCTGCCCTCTGCCCCCGTCCCCCTGTGTGGACCCCCAGCCGGAACCTGACAGCCCCTGCCCCCACCGCCCGCCCTCCCAGGCCCGCCGCCATCTCTTCTAGCTCTGATGTGTGCCTGGAGACCACGCCCTCCGGGGCTCAGGGCCGTGGGGGTCCGATGAGCCCTGCTGTGCCCGCTGCCCATATAACCCTGCTGTGACAGATGGGAGCACGGGCCACTCCCGTAAGACGTGTAACAGTGAGCGTCTTACATTCAGTAAACGCCACTGTGCTGTCAGCTGTCAGCTGTCAGCTGGATTCACGCTTCACTCCTTAGAAAGACCCAGCCTCACTTACATGCGAACACTTCCGTCTCATTTTCAAATGTTACCAAAAAGTTTTTCATGTTATTATTTCCTGCTCTGTTGAATATCTGTGGTATTCCACTTTTCTTTCTTAATATTGCATATATTAAAAGCAGAAATCTTTATGTAGGTCTCTTGGTTTTATTGAACCCACTGTTCATTCAGCGATTCTCTCGTGTCTTCTGACGTGCTGTTTCCTGTTTCACTGTGAGCTGGTTGTTTCATAACGCCTTGTAGGTGGTGCTCGCTCAAGTCATTTTTAGCCTTTATTCTTTTCTATTATAATTTTTAATGCCATAAAATTTTCTTTAAATGTATCACTTGAGATGTATTCCATAGTAATATGTGATGTTTTATTTCTGTATCTTTTAAAACAATTCTTACTAAGGGGAAAATCAAGTAAATATTATTTGTCTTCTTTCTGCCAGCAGACAAACCAGAATCTTCTTTGCGGTTCTAAGTGTCTCATAGGTCTCTCTGTAATCTTCCAATTACTGTTATGTTCACCATAGGTGTTATAATGGAGTACTAATAAAAATTAAAACAATATTCATATAATACAGCTTGAAGGTTAAGTGGAAGTTACTCACTTAGAATATTTATATACTGATAGTATGTGCACTTACCCTGGAAGCTACAGTTTCTCAAGCAGCATTTTGTACAATGTTTGAATCTCTGAAGCAGAAATATTTTCCTTTACTGATTCTGAGAGAAATCATTAAAAGTGCATTTTGAAGGGGGTAAAAATGAAATGCTCAAGTTGCTTGATACAGTTTTGGAATCTGGAATAATCGCTGTGTTAGAAAGTCGAGTTAAGCTTGAAGAACCCACGTCTCCTGGGACCTGAAGGTGATGGTGTTCAGTCCTCACCCTGGAAGTGGTTTTGTCAAGCGTGGCGTTCACGCCTTCTGCTCCTCACGGTGCCCCAGCCCCGGGCTCCAAACGATGCTTCTACAGAGGGTGCGTGTGCCCCTCGTTCCCTCGGCTGAGCTGTCTCTTGGACAGGATGTGGATGGTGCCTTTCTTCTTGCACTGACTGCAAACATTTGGACAAATCTGAGACCGCTGGTGACAGGTGCCCAGGGGACCGGTCCCCGGGAGGCCGCAGAGGGTGGGCGTGGCCTCAGGTAGCTAGGCTGCTTGTCCCACACTCGTCTGGGGAGCCCCGCTGTGTCACCACGTTCCAGCCCAGGTACATCGATGCCCAGAGAATGGCAAACTCGCCTGCTGGCTGGGCCAGGACCCTCGGTGGAATAGCCTGTCAGGGGCGCGGGCCACAGAGACCCACAGCTCCTCCACGCCCCACGCCCCCATAGTTTTCTTGCCCCTGCTTCCTGTTTGTGTTGGAGAATTTCAGTGGTAGGATTAACGGGAAGAATAGATGCCCATGTACCCTCCACCCAGCTGGATTGCTCCTCCTGTGAAATTTTCTTTAATTTCTGTCTCTGGTCACATAAATATTCTCACAAGTGAGGTCCCCTGTGTCTGTTCATCAGCCCCCTCTCAGTCTGTCCTCCCCCCACTAATCTGCTAGCGGTGTCACAGTGAATTACGGATGCCTGGCCCTTCCTCGCGTGTCTGCAGGACGAGGGCACTGCACTGCACAGCCGAGCCATCATCCCTCCTGACAGGGCCAAGCCCGCAGACCCTACACACATTCCCAGTTGCCCTAACACTGTAGGTTTTCCCTTGAAAAGTGTTCAAAAGTGTGGGTTTTTTAAAATTTTTTTCAATTAAATTCTCTTAATTTTAATTTTTGCCTATTTTATACCTGGGTTTTTTTAGGGGAAGAGATTAGGGTAGATCATATGGTCATTTGCATATCCTGTTTGGAGAAGTGAGCGTTCCTCGCTTTTCCCTTGGGTTGGGGCTGTGGTCTTTGAATGTGCATGTTTATAAAAAGTTCTTTATATAAATATATATTCCATAGAAAAGTCTTTTGTCAGATACAAGTGCTGATTAAACATTCTTTGTGGCTTTTTTTCCTTTGGCTGCACTGGGCTTTGTTGCCGTGCGGGCTTTCTCTGGCTGCAGCTAGCAGGGGCTCCTTTGCCCTGCTGTGCACGAGCTTCATCGCTGCGGCTTTTCTTGCTGCGGAGCTCGCGCTCTAGGGTGTGTGGGCTTCAGTCACTGGCTGCTCGGCTAAGTAGCTGCGGTGTGTGGGCTCTGGAGCACAGGCTCCATAGCTGTGCTGAGTGGGCTTAGCTGTCGTGGGATCTTCCCAGACCAGGGATCAGACCTGTGTCTCCTGCAGTAGCAGGCAGATTCTTTACCACTGAGCCACCAGGAAAGCCCTCTTTGTGGCTTTTTAAATGGCGTCTGTTGGTGAACAGAAGTTTTTAACTTTATGGAAGTCTGATCTGTCAATATTATTTTTATTAGTGCTCTTCAATCTGTTTAAAATGATTAAACCTGTTTAATTCTTTCTCTACTTCAAAGTCATGAACATATTCTCATTTTTTTTTTTGAGTTTTATTGTGTTACCTTTGATGCTTCCATCTCAAATTAATTTTTGGAACATACTGACTCTCAGCTTTTGTCACAGCATATGGTGTATTTTAGTAAACGTTTTTGTGTACTTAAAAAATTCTTCAACTGTTTGGTAGAATATGCTACATATGTCAATTAGGTCAAGTGAGATAATTATTTTATTCACCTCTTCTATTTTTTCATGTCTTCTTGTTCTATTACTTATTGAGAGAATCAAAATATGGTTTTGCATTTTTCTACTTTTCCTTTTAGTTCTGTCAGTCGTTGCTTTATATTTTAAAGATGTTATTATCTGTTTACAAATTCAGGATTATTTTATTGTCTGGACTATCCCTTTTATTCTTATAGCGTGTCACACTTGACATTGTTCACTACTTCTCGCATTAAAGTCTGTTTTGTCTGGGAATTTATCTGTTCTTTTAGTTAGGGCTTGCTTTATTTGCACTTTCTGCTATTATATTCAAATGTGTTCCTTGAGAGCTTGTCCGGGGGTTCTAGCAGGGGAGTGCAGCTACTTGTATACCCTTGATGGAAGACCGGTCCTCCTCTGTCAGGAATGGTCATCCTCTTAGAGCGAGTGTGCAGCTTCAGGAGGGACACACGGGGTGGTGAGGGAGGAAGGGGACACACGCCTTCCCAGCCAGATCAGCGGAATCAACCCTGGCAATCAGTTTGGTGACAGATGTCGCAATGAGATCACCCTCACGTCCTCACATGTGTTTCTTATAAACCTCAGAGAGCTTTACAAACCCAGTCCCATGGTCTCTCTTTTAACTGGATTGTTTAGTCCACTTATATTTAATGTGATCCCTGAGGCAGTTGCTCTTCTCCACCACCTCACTATCTTCTCTTGTCCCTTACCTCCTCCTGCATCTTTTGTATACTCACTGTAAAAAAAATTTTTCCACTGTATCTCTTTATTACTTTTAAATTATACTTCAGTGTATCATTCTTTTGACCGTTACTCTAAAAATTAAAAGGTGGTTACTCTAAAGATTACAATACCGACCATCCATCGGTTACTGTCTACTTGATACACATTATTTGTACCAGTTTCCAAACCATGCAGTTCAACTCCAGTCTCCCACGTCTCCCGTGGGGGCTGTTGTCTATTGACATAATGTACTCTGCACTCTACGTCTCTATTATAAACTTAACAAGACAGCATTAATCATTTGGCCTGAAATCATCATCATTTTCACATTTTACCATTTGTTTCCCTTTCCTGCATTCTTTCCTTCCTGATCTCCACGCCTGCAACTGGAATCATTTTTCTCTTCTTCCTGTGTTTCTTTGGCTTCAGGTTCTTGTGAGTTACTCCCTTAGCTTATGTTTGCCTGAAAAATGTCTTTTTTTGGTCCTTCACTTTTAAGGGATATTTTGCTCACCCTTTTTGCTAAGTTGGCAGTTATTTTTTTCTTTTAGAAAGTAAAGCATCAGTTCATTTTTTAGTGGGAGTCTAAGTCAGAAGGAAGACTTGTACACATTGGACAACTTTGAGAGCAAAGCATGTGAACACCCACACTGGGATGCTTACTACAATTAGTTTCTATTATGGATTGTAACCTGATTCCCCTGCTGGAGAATGTGGCCTATAGTAAACCAATTCTTCAGAATTCATTGTTGTTGTAAACCCAGTAAATTTTGTGGACTTACTGTCACGCACACACATTGATAGCAGATCTGTGTCTGTCAGATCACACTTGCTGACTGTGTGGCTCACCTCTTCTACATCCTTGGCTAATGTTGGTTTGCCTGATCTCTCATTTTCTTAGGCATGCATTGAGTATACAGGCTTTATCAAGTTCAGTATTATGCCTTGCCATTCTATTTTTCTGAGAGTTCTAAAACTTATGAATGTACTGAAATCTTATCAAACTTTTTCTCTGTATCTGCCAAGTACAATTTTGTGAAATCATTAAGATAGTCATTTTTTTATCTTCTGTAGCCTAACAATGTAGTGAATTATTTCATGTAGAAAATCATCTTTGCATTGCTGGGGTAAAATACGTCTAGTCACAGGTTTTATTTTGTAAGATGTTTTGCATTTGGTTTGTTCATGTGCTATTTAGGACATTTTACATGAAAGGGAAATAACCTAGATTTGTTTTCTTGTGTTGACTTTACCAATTCTGAATTTAAGGTAATAATAGTTTCCAAAAATTAATTTCAAAATTATCCTCTTTTAAAGATATGTTCTGGAGTGTTCTTGTGAGCAAGTTTGGAAAATTCATCTGTAAAACTGTCTGTGCCTGGGGCTTTTTAGTA